ATGAAGGTGGATAGAGTTAGTAGGAAGAGGCGAGAGGATGAGTGGCTCTGAGGGTAGGTGGCGGCATGCTCACAAAGTGGCGCCTTAGTTTGCCTAAAAATATTTACAACACGGATTTCAAAAGCTTTTTGGACGCGGGAAAAATATTGGACAGTGGTCAGTCGAGGTAAAGTGAAGCCGCTATTGATGGGCGGGCAAGCACAAGAGAGGGGTTATTCACAAACATTAATAAACTCTGTCCCAAGCGATCCTTTGAAGAGCTGGGGAAAAAGTGGTTTATGAAGTCAAATGACAATAGTTTTGACGAAGAAGAAGCAGTCAGAAGCCGCCGATGGATGGAGGGGATTGCGTCTGGGCCGAAGTTTAAATTATTCACTGTGTAATGGACCAAATTTGAGATAGTTTACGGCTGCCCAACCCATATCGTCGCTGGATGTGTTTGCCGCGAGAACGCGTGCGGCACCAACTGAGTAGCCATAGAGAGAAAGAGTAATTGATTAGAAAGCATGTTTGCTTCTGTGAAGCGTATTTGAACAGCACTCTGGAGATATGTGCGGAGTTTAAATATTTCGCTTTTGACCTACCAACAATAGACAGCCCTGTGCTTTTTAATATTTGTAACGCGATGCGTGTATCACAAAAAAGGACCAAACGGCGACGATTTTCTGAAAAAGTGGAACAATTTAAAAAAAGTTTGGGGTACCACTTAGGAAGGAAAGCAATCCGTTGATCTTCCATTTGAAAAGAATTTCCGGTGTGAAGAGTGTTCTCCAATGAACTCACACACCTTCAAACTTTAAACCCAGGTCATTTCCAGATGCTGGCAGTCACTATGGGAAGCAAAACCACAGCCTCTCGTCAGATTTTGTAATTATAATCGCTTGGTGACGAGATGTTTTAATGGAGAACCTTTTATGAGCTGACATCTACGACGATCGCCTTCCTCGAAGACATATAACGTGGCTTCAAGGCTAAGGTAGGTTTCTGTGATACTCCTCACTTCACCCCACTGGCCTCCTCTCCCCAATGTTTCTGTTCTGACAGACAATCCTGGGGAAAGAACCGAAAACCCGAAACGAAGGAAACGAAACGTAGGCCAGGAATAAGGCATACTAATTAAAAATGTTCGTTGGCAGAGAAAATTAGAGATTACTGGTGCAGGTCCAATTCAGTCACTTGTGACGGCGAACAGGTGAAGAACTTGGGCGCAACCTTGGAAAAGGCACGTTAAGGCATCTTTATACTACAAGTGACTAATTACGGGAGAGCGGATGGGAAGGAGCGAAGGCGCGGGATGGTATCGAGACTCCTCAACGGGCGAAAGGGACCTTCGGAAATCGGTTCAACGTGACGGTTGACCATGGCTCAGGGAGGCGTTATGAAATCATCAGGCGGAGCCCAAGAGCGGAATGTCACTGAGTTCGTTGGGACCCGGGCTGCTGGTCACGGCCGCGACGTGGCAACGGCAGTTGACGAGTTTCTGTGTGCGTCATTTCTCACTGAACGTAGAAAAACGCTTTTGAACCCCTCCCTTCAATGTTCAAATCGATCAAGTCGCGCATAGTTTCAACTGCCTTCAACCTTTTACTTTTTGTGTTTTTTCAATATGACTACAAATCAAAAAACAATTTTGTTCACGCCATTTTTTCTGAGAAAATGCTAGGACATTGTTGGAATTAGGTAACCCTCTTACAGAAGTTACTGTGGACAGCAAGAAGTTCACTGCCTCCTACCGTCAAATCCAAAAATCCCTAACCCTTCGGAAAAGTCGTGTTCGTGACGCCGCCCAAGTAGCATGCGCGCGGCGCTACGACTGGGATTTTCGTTGACCGTTCCCGACTGAGAGTTGTCCCGTTCAGAGAAACAGTGGAAATCAGGAGAGGCGAAACCGTCAAACGAGCAGTCGACAATAATTCTCATCATCATCAGTCTTCTTCTTCCTCAGCGTTTAGTCCGCGCGCAGTCGCAGGTTCTGCTGTCTTTGTCAGTCGTCGCCACTTCGCTCTGTCTAGGGCATCTCCCGCAGTGGCGGTGATTTCACTTAGGCCCTCCCTTGATCGCATCATTCCACCTCTTTGGGCTCCTCTCGGTCGCTTGCCTTGCACTTCGAGTCCATCGCATTCTTCATCGGTGGCCGCCAGCACATGTCCATACCACGGCAGTCGTTGCTCTCATCACCTTCAGCTGACAGGGCAGCCTGCATGACCGCTTGACATCCTTGTTCCTGACCCTGTCCAGCTGCGTCCAGCTTCAGGCGCTCTCCAGCATCCTCATTTCGGCTGATGGAAGGCTGCCTTTCGTGATTCTTGTTCAGGGCCATCACTCACGTAGAGCATCGCAGGCCTCACCACTGTTCGCTACCTTTCCCTTTGAGCGCTCTGGAGCACCTTTCCAGTGGACTCCCCCGTTCCATCCAAGCCGTTGATCCTACCCATTACTGCCTGGCCAACTGCCGTCGCCGCCAGATCACTCCCAAGGTATCGGAAGTCCTGTACTCTTCGATGCTTTCACCAAGCCTGTCCATGATCGGCTGTGCACCTTCTTCAGAACTCAGGAACTTGTTCTTTTGATTTTCAGCCGTAGCCCGCATTCTGCACAGGACCTTCTGCCATTGCTGACCTTGGCCAGAAGTCCCTCTCTACTATCCGCTATCAGGGCGATGTCGCCAGCGTAGAGGATGGTCCTTAGCAATCCTTTCTGAGCCCCCTCCCAGGACATCTAGTGTCAGGAGGGAGAGGAACGGGCTCAGAGCTGCACTTGATGCACACGCAACCAGGATGTTTACCGCTTTTGTTAGGCCATGTGGGGTGCGCATGAACTGCACTAGCCCCATCGTACATGTCCTTCACCAGCGAGACCACGTGTTTCTGGCACGTTCCGATCCTTAAGCGTCTCCATAGTACCACTCGTGGCAGCCGGTCGAACGCCTTTTCCGGGTCTAGGAAGGCTTGGTAGCAGGTCGGAGCTTTTCTCGATACTTCTCCATCACTTGCCTTGCGATGAAGATGGCGTCCGTTGTAGAAGACATGACACCGACTGTTCCTGGGAGATTGGACAGCTCCCGCAGTTTCGAGTAGCAACCAGCGCTCGTACAACTTGTATGTGCTGTCAGCTTGATACTGCGCAGTTGAAGCAGTCCATCGCGTCACCCTCCTGCTTGAATATGATGATATGATGGGACGATTGTAATTGTTCTCCAGGCATCTGGCAATGGCACCGCGCATCTGAACCTACCGCCTTCCCAACCTTCATCTTTGCCACTTCTCGATTAACCTCCCCCCTGTCCACAGTGAATGGGGCCAGACGTTGCCTCTGCTTGTGGAGTGTCCTTGTGGAGGAGCTCTCGTTCAGAAGTGTTCTGTAGTACTCCTCCCACCTCCTCTTAACTTCGGCTGGCTTCTGAGAATGGCGGCCGTTGCTGCTCTTCCGCGCTCTTCACCACCCTGGTATCTTGAGTAGGCCGATGCCGGGCCTTAGCCAGTCTGAGAACGAGCTTCTCCGCACTTGGGCTTTCCAACTGTTCACACAGGGCGTCCATTTTCAATGTTCTAAGGCACGCTCCGGGATTGGACGCTCTCGCCTGTTCTATCCCAGGGGTAGTAGACAGGCGGACAAACGTTGATATCGCGCCACATTTGCCACTTGAAAGTGCGAGACAAAGGCACAAGGGACTCATCCGACCCAGAACCCACACCTTCGTCCGCAAACCCCACCCTCCGCTGTCGGTTGCCACGTGGCGCTGCTTGAAAAGCGCGGGCAAGCGAGGCAGCGGTCCTATCGCCGAGCATCGCGTCGCTGAAAACGACTCCATACGACCCCTCAAAAAGGATGCTTTCAAACAGGTGAAATATCAGTACAGCTCGACTCGTCGACTGTCAACGCTCGGTCCTAAAGCATATGTCGTGTTCGCGACGCTACTTGCTACGAATGCCCTTGCCGTGTCTCTCCTGACCGACACCCAAGGAAAATTACCCGCAACATATGCTATTATCAGTATTCTCTCAAGGTGGGCAGGCTGGAGCAATAGCTACAGAGACAACTTTAGGTTACATCAATTTTATGAGTATCACGGTCTACTTATTTATTCCTTTGGTTAGTCCATCTTTTTGATGAACAGCAATTACTGTGTCTGAATTTTCGAGCCTTCTGATCTTTGAATCTCTTATTCGTTATATATATGCCTAACATCATTAGAATTCAAAGGAGTGCGCGCCGGATTCTCGCACAGGTCAGTCACTAGGACCTTGCACACATATAATACTTTACACGTTACCGTGACATACATCTTTGGGAAATGGATATAGCTAGCAAGCGTCCAAATTCTTAAGTGATAAACATAATAGTGAATTTCAAATCGTATTCATTGGGCCCCTGGGCAATGCAGGATCAGTACTAATAAACGAACTACCAAAATGGAAAACATATGAGATCCACCGGTTCAAAAGCATATCGATTATTTGGCCAGAACCAACTATTTCACCCTCCGGAAACCTTATGAGAAACGTTTTCTTTCATTTCAGTGGAGCAATTACAAAATCATTGAAGCCGTTTTCGCCTGCGTGTGTCCGTTGTTGGCCACTTCATCAGCACTCGGATTCCTCTTCTGGTGTGGATTCCGATTCGCTTCAATACTTTGCGTCACACCGTTCCTTGTTTTGGCTATAGGTGAGAAGAGTGTCCAACAAATTATGGAATTTGTTCGAGTATTATTGCACTGATAGAATGTTCCATAAAGGGAGAACTGGGTGAATATTGGATAAGCAGGCTAGACTCATCTGCAAGCAGAGCGGAATCGCACACGTTCCCACAATGTTGTTTGTAATCTCGGAACCCCTTTGCGATATCCATGTTTGAATTCGATGAGTGCTTGAACAATGAAATTCGAACGTCTGAATAAAGCAGGGAGAAAATGGACATATTTGAATTTAATTATTTAGCACAGATCGAGCAACTCTAATTCAGTCACTGAAACTGCCACAATGGGCCAAATAAATTTGGCTATGAGTATTGACGCTTCTGAGCTTGATTTCGTGATCATTTCTGCAGTGCTGTACCATTTGTCAATTCAAGGTGTTGATGATGCCTACCTTATGATGCACTCATGGATGCGAATTTCCAATGAGGACCCAACAATGACAAAACGTGAACGGTGTGTTCTTTCTTCTGTACAAATCTACTAGTGCAACCTTCCGCTCAGCATGGAGACTCTTTACACTTGTACTAGATTGATTAAACGGGTCGATATCACGAACATCTACTAGGAAAGAATGAGTCCCTACATACATAAAATGCGCTGGTGTATACAGGAGGGGCCAAAAAAAAAGAGTACACTTCTATCCACATTCAAAACGACAACTAATCTCAAACTGCGAAGCCAAATCAAATAATCCCAATTGCATAGAAAAGAGCACATTCAAGTCTATAAAAAGGTTACATGCCATCCCTCTACACTGACGACTTTGGAAGATTTTCCCACGGAAACTTGGTTTACGGTACGAGCTCAACGACGTCGTCGAGGTACCATAGACCATTACGACGTCCCTGGAACGCCGGACAAAAGCGGTCTTGCACGGTCACAGCTAGTGTCTCTGGGGAGTTACTCACCGCTTAACCGATTGAAGAAATTGAGTTGCAGCTTTAGGCCGGAGCTATTACGGTAAGCCCCATTGAGCTTGACGGCGACGGCAGATGGCGTCATATTCTGAAGACCGTGAGGGCATTGAAGTAAGGGCTGCTTCTGCTCATGGGGGACACCTAAGGAATATTCTGCCGTAAAACATTCATTAGCTGCGGCATTCTGTGCGAAGAAAAATTTGGTGATGTGCGCCATAGGCCAAGTGACTCTTTTTTTTGGCCCCCCCTCGTATATGGGAGTGTGTCACGAAATCCACAGCATGCATTCTGACAACGCGGGAAGTTGTTTGACACTGAAAAGTACTTATGGAATGGAGGGAGTGTGACGAGCACGGAGCGTTCTGTATTTCCGGTGAGAGCGAGCACTGGTCCCTACATGTTGGTGTAGTGGATAAGGCAGCCACACAGATAGTGGGATCGAAAGTAATTGCAACCAATAAGAGCTGCTGTGAGCTGCCAAAATGTAAGTGACACCCAACGATTGAGCCCTTCACGGTGAAAGTGGCATGAAAGTCTTTGCAAATGATAAAAGGACGAGGGTGACACAGATGGTCGTTGATTAAATGTGGTAACAACTGATGAGAGCTGATGAATAGCGTTAGAATGTAAGTGTGACCCAATTAGTTGCGGCATTTGTGGCGACGGTGGGACGATAATACTCACATGTTGTATAGGGAGTCGGGCGGAACATGATATTAGGGGGGTAAAAATTAATCACGACTGACAAAGACTGAAAAACAGCTGAATCCTGACTGAAAGACTGAAAAAGGTCTGAATTAAAATATTTTTAACTTATATACGCTTTTCGCAATATAACGTAGCGCTCTCACTGGCAAATAATTAAGTACACAAAAATGTTAATGATGGGTGACAGAGAGAAATGAGAAGGACACTGACAAGAGTGAGGGAGGTGTGCTCGCCGTCATATGGGGCCTGACAGCGTTGCTTCAAAGACCCTATCAAGCATGTGTTGGCTCATATTGCCTCATCTCGCACCACTGCACCTTTCAGTGGCTTGAAAAATTCCATTAAGCTTGTGACAAATTGAACCCTCGAGTCAACTATCGCGTTCTACTCATAGCGTATGATCCATTATTCATAGGGCAGGTAACAAAGTAGACAACGCCATTACTAGCCACAACATATGTAAGAGGAAAGTGGTGATAAGCACTGCAAACTTCAACATTGCTTGAAGTATAATGAACTCACTCAAGTTTTTTGTTTAAGCATCGCGCATATACTGGTGGATGCGGGGCCGTCGATGGCGATCACCTCTCTGACAAACTTCCTTGCTTTTCTTGTCGGCTTCTACACACCAACACCAGAAATTCAAGTCTTCTGTTTTGGCAACGCTGTGGCCATACTATTCGATTTTTTTTATGAGGTACTGTTCCTGCTAGCTATGCTGGTCCAATCATCTTTTCGTTCACCCTAATCTACCTCATTTGTCGTTCATCTCTCTTCGCTTCATTCACTTTCACTTATGTTGATGTACTAATGAAACCGAATCTGAAGGATTGATTCAACGCAAAGCGCTTTCATACCCTGAAATGTGCAAATTAAAACTTAGTTCTCGTAGGCGAGCGAAACTACAACACATGTGTCTGCTCATTACTTCTTGACTGCTTCATTTTCAAACTAATCAAACTAATAAATAATAAATACTAATAAATAATAAACAAAGCTACATTACAATATAACATAAATACATAAATATTATACTCATTCTATAATAAAATAAAAATAATGATAAAATAAATTAAATAAAATCAATTCCAGGTCAATTCTTTAGATGGTCAAATGAATGAGAATTACATTGAGCTCCAGATAGAAACAGTCTATATGCAGAATCGGTTTCAACTGACCCTATAGGTGAATATCTCTCGGTAACAAGTACCTCAACCAGTCTCTTCTCCAGTCAAGATCACTCTGGTATTCATTTATGATTGATAACTTCTACTTTTCCAACAACGACTATGAAGCTCTCTTTGTAGTACAGGCAACATTCCGTACATGATTCAAATAAAGATATTAAAACCTTAAAGAGAAGTTCAAAACTAGAAATAGGGGAGTATCACGGTTGCACACTTCTTGATTCAGGTCGACAAACTCTATTGATGCTTGTCATGATTTTCAAAATTATGTGCCGGTATCACCAAAGTTGACTCATCCAATTCTATCGGTTAGTCAATTCTCCGAACCAGAGGGTCGGTCGGAGAAGATTTCCTATGTAACTCCAAGACAAACTTGAAACTTTCATGCTTTACTGCTAGAGCTGGGCTCTACATTTATCTCTCTAAAGATCAAATATGCCGTCTTACTCTCAAGTTTTTGTTCATTCAAACGTTTTGGCCAAAGAAAACAATTAATTATGTTATTGAAGGTACAGTGATATTCGGGATCATTTCTGTGTATGTTTGTTATTCATGATTGTATTTTACGTCTGCTTAACTTGAGCGGATTCCGCAACCCCTCCCTCGTCGACGATCCCCCCCATCAGAACCCGGTCTCAGAATAAATAAATAAATTCATTCTGGCCACCTGCTCCTTTACATATGCTTTGGAGAAGGTTTTTTTACTTACACTTGAAGGCACAGGCTGGGACTGAGCTGATGCATCATTTTGTTTGAAAATGAAGCAGAGGTATGAAGAGGATCACTGGTGAGGAAAAAAGCAAAACGAGTATAGAAAACACTGGAATGTCCCCTCTAAGCTCGACTGGCACGGCAGAAAAAAACAACGCTGCTAAGAGCGGGTAAACGCTAAAGAGCACGTCACACGATAGGGCACAGACATCGCGTATGCTGCGATACGTAAGAATAATGGCGGTCGCAGCAGTCAAGGGAAGCCATTAGCGCTGTGATTAGAGGCCTTGCTACCTCACTCAGGGACAGAACTCTCTAGGAAGCTATCACGACACATTTAAAAGGTACTGCTAGCATTGCTTTTAAACTTTTTTCTTTGCGTCAACTCAGAGTATGCTAATTGTAAGTAGCAGGTGCAAGTCGTGACTTCAAGGGTGCGCACGGTTGCGGATTTCTAGTAAATGTGTCGCGTGGTGATAATTGAAAACTCTTCTGTAGAGGTTTTCTGTAGAATGAAGAGTGCGGTGGTTGGATATGGAATGTTGACAAAGTTGTCTGAAGGTTTTGGCCGAACAAAATCTGTATAGGACGGCTTGAGAGCTCGCTTCTGGATCAAGCGTCACGGATTTTTGCCATTTGCGCTACAGAGATACACTTGGAACATTCTGACCTATGAGTATACAAGAGCTCTTGTATACTGGCTGTCACTTTTCCAACCGTCTGCATAACGTTCGCGAAGCCGTCACTTCCATAGAAGCCATACACTTGCTGAGACTTACTTCAGCAACAGTTGCAGTTTAGTGGTGGAAAGAGAGAAGCAAGTGCACATGCTGGTAAACGTGGGTAGGGTTGCCGCAGCTGCTGAAGCTTCACTAGCGCTTGTATGGTCTGGCATCTGTCTGATGAGACTGCTCGCCCACACTCTCTCCTACAACATTTACGTCTTCATTACCATTCATACTGACCTATAAAAACCCTTTTCCTGATCATATGCAGTGACAAGCATGCACATTTGAAAGCTGATTAAATTTATTTAGATCACATTGTTCGCCGCATTGCTATCGATCACAGGCCATCTGCAAATGCGGGAAAACTCAAAATCGAGCGCAGTGCGGCAGTGGAAGAGTTCTAAAATCGAGCAGGTTAGCTGCCGTTCGATCTGCCTCCTACTTTCCAGAAATTTTTGAGAGAAATTCGTTCAGCTTCCCTATGTCCTCGACGAATATTCTCAGTGGTTGGCCAGCAAATTCACGGCTTTGCTTCTGTTCGTGATACTCTGTTGCTACTGGTTCATCAGCATCGTCGGTTCCATGCAAATTCACGTGGTTCTGTCTGCCGAGAAACTTGTGTTGGAAGACTCAAGACTTGTCAAGGTTTCTTTTCTTATTGAACAGACCATTTTGCCAAGCTCATCGATGTGCATCAGTCAAAGCATCTGTAATAATCTCAAGTTTTTCAAGGCCGGATCATCCGTCTTCACTCCGTGAGATGACCAGATCAAACTCTCGCACTGAGCAAATTATGAAGCACGCACATACTGCAGCCTTTCCCTCCCCGTCCCTTGAGAGTTTCGATTATTTGCCTCAAAATGTAACGGCAAGCGGTTTTTGTCTTTTCCATATGTTTCCGAGGCAAAGTAGTAAAGCTAACGAGACCAGCAAAAAGTTTAATAGAGTGCGCCATAGATATAATACAATATGATGCAACGCATTTATGAAACCGCGATTCGGAGTGAAACAAGATGGATTTGCACAACCTGGGTCTATACTGCAACAGGTAATTGCTGCGAAATCGTTCTACTGTTTTTCGAAAAATTCGGACGAGGCTCTGTTCAGCAACTTCTTCAAAATTTCACTTGTGACGAAAACGTCTGCTGAGTTCACATACCAAATTGTTGTCTATCAACGGAACCCAGCGGAGTTCTCGGGAACATTGCCGCTGCACACCTATATTAGATTTCATTTCATTGCAAGCCGTAGCTTGTGCATAGTCATGATTCTATGCAGTATTCTTGAGGTAGTTACTCACCTACAGTAGTAATTTCGTCAAGATATCTCCAGTGAGGCTTCTCAATTTGGATTTAAGATCAAATCATCGGAAAAGATGGAGGGTTACAAGCAATAAACCAAACCTTCTCATCAGGTTAGTGAATCCTGGAAACACACATAGCGATTTGGACTGCGACTCTACTTCTTCTTTTGCGTAGAATGTTTTCTCCATGGAAGGTATGAAATGTAGTGGGCCGCCTCTATAGTGCATTCAAAAGTTCTTTCGAGCTGTACATAGTGCTGAAGGCAGTAATTTATTGAATCGGTCGAAAAGTATAAGCCGTTTTGCACCTCCAGTATTCCCCTGCCGATACATCCTTCGGAACTGTGCAAGCAATTTGGATGTCATTTCGGAGAGGAAGATCAGCACCATCATGTAAAGCGAAGACTTGGACCAGTTCGGAGAACTTCTTTCGTTTTACCCTCTTTTTTGAGCTACGGAGAATCGCGATTTTCGACTATTGAGACTTCCTGTCTTCAAACTTGAGACACGCCAGGATCGTCTCGTAATATGACGACTGCTTTGAGAAAGAATGCACCTAGGAAATGCACAGCGCCAGATCAACTCGGCAGCTCTGATGCTGGAGAACTGAGGCTCGAAAATGTTGCACGTAGTAAAAAGGAAGGATCCTTACGACAGGATTGTACAAAAGAAGCAAAGGGAGCTTATCACAGACGGTAGCAAGAGAGGCTGGGATTTCGGAAAGCACGTACAGCCGGCCACAGGCTACGAAAGGAGAAAAAACGTGGTCAGTCTGTTAATTGAGCTGGCTCATACTGGCAGCTCGACGTTGCGGCGCGCCGGGAGTTGGGTGCTTGGACTTTCTACTGCAAGAGGAGTTTTTAGATGGGTAACAGTTCAGGTTGAAATTGTGGTTCCGCAAGCTAATAACCAAGGGTACCCAGATAGGTAGACGAAAAAGAGCTGCCTTGAAGCATCGGGAAAGCCGCAGCACTTCCAACAGAAAATTTTCCCAGAATTCAATGCTTCAGCTCATTGCAAGCTCAGAGAATCAAACCCGTTGACGACGGTCGAGTACTACGGTAGAGAATAGAACATATAAGAAATTGCGGGGATGATACTCTGCTTCAGAGAGCAAAAGAGACCCGATCCCTTACCATACCAGCGGCCCACAGAAAATGCGCTGTGTAAAATCCATGCAAGAACAGCTCCAGGATTTCTAAACCATTCTCCATATTGCGCAGGTATATCTCTGATGAACTGCAAACTCTCCGCTTTCCAACGCAGTTCTTGGGAGGGTATCTCACTGAGAACAGGCGCCTGTTGGAATCGCCCTCTGCTGCTTTCAGCTTACAACGACTTGAATTTCTAATTGAAGGCATTAGCACGGTATGAATTACAATAATATAGCCAACATACGGGTTTTCATGTGACATCTGGATGTTGTGCCTCAATTGCGGTGCTTCAAATTCAGGGTTTCACAACGGCAGGTACTTTTTGACCGGAGACATTTCGTAAAATCCCTTCAACGAGTAACCATAAAGGTACCCGACAGGAGGCTGGTCGCGCGGCGACTAGGCAGAGACGCAGACGGTTCCGAGTTGCAGCGCATACTGAACAATGTGAGATGTACTTTTACATATGTGCTACATGCGTACGTCCTGTTCAACTTTACGCTGAATAGCTACAGCACGCACTGCGACTCGTTCGCTACAGTCCGTATCCTTAACTTCTCGCCGCGTCAACGGCCTCCTAAAGGGTACCCAACGACTAAGCAGTTATCACGTTGTACATCAACGACTGAGCAGGTGTTACATTGTTATGCTACGAACCTGATAGGTAGAAAGCCATCGTGTTCCCTCCTGAACTGTGGTTTCTGCGACATTGATGCGCTGTTACCATATCTATGGCTCATCCTGTAATTGGTCGTAATTCCAGCGCCTATCGGCTATAGAGCACGTTGGGTTTTCATGCGATTAGGCGATGAGAGAGGGAGATGCAGCATTTTCTCCTCAGACGAGTTTGAAAAGGACCAAGCCTTCGAGACTGATCAACCCCCCATAACACGTTGAAGACCGCACGGATTTGGCCCATACTGCAGCCCTTCCCTCCCCGTCCCTCGAGAGTTTCGATTCTTTGCCTCAAAATGTAACGACAAGCGGTTTTTGTCTTTTCCATATGTTTCCGAGGCAAAGTAGTAAAGCTAACGAGACCAGCAAAAAGTTTAACAGAGTGCGCCATAGATATAATACAATATGATGCAACGCATTTATGAAACCGCGATTCGGAGTGAAACAAGATGGATTTGCACAACCTGGGTCTATACTGCAACAGGTGATTGCTGCAAAATCGTTTTACTGTTTTTCGAAAAATTCGGACGAGGCTCTGTTCAGCAACTTCTTCAAAATTTCGCTTGTGACGGAAACGTCTGCTGAGTTCACATACCAAATTGTTGTCTATCCACGGAACCCAGCGGAGTTCTCGGGAACATTGCCGCTGCACACCTGTATTAGATTTCATTTCATTGCAAGCCGTAGCTTGTGCATAGTCATGATTCTATGCAGTATTCTTGAGGTGGTTACTCACCTACAGTAGTAATTTCGTCAAGATATCTCCAGAGAGGCTTTTCAATTTAACGTTACGTTTTCTTTGACGCAAGAAAGCCCTATTCGTCAGCTCACAAGGATTTAAGATCAAATCATCGGAAAAGATGGAGGGTTACAAGTAATAAATCAAACCTTCTCATCAGGTTTGTGAATCCTGGAAACACACATAGCGATTTGGACGTCTACTTCTTCTTTTGCGTAGAATGTTTTCTCCATGGAAGGTATGAAATGTAGTGGGCCGCCTCTATAGTGCATTCAAAAGTTCTTTCGAGCTGTACATAGTGCTGAATGCAGTAATTTATTGAATCGGTCGAAAAATAAGCCGTTTTGCACCTCCAGTATTCCCCTGCCGATACATCCTTCGGAACTGTGCAAGCAATTTGGATGTCGTTTCGGAGAGGAAGATCAGCACCATCATGTCAAGCGAAGACTTGAACCAGTTCGGAGAACTTCTTTCGTTTTACCCTGTTTTTTGAGCTACGGAAAATCGCAATTTTCGACTATTGAGACTTCCTGTCTTCAAACTTGAGACACGCCAGGGTCGTCTCGTAATATGACGACTGCTTTGAGAAAGAATGCACCTAAGAAATGCACAGCGCAAGATCAACTCGGCAGCTCTGATGCTGGAGAACTGAGGCTCGAAAATGTTGCACGTAGTAAAAAGAAAGGATCCTTACGACAGGATTGTACAAAAGAAGCAAAGGGAGCTTATCACAGACGGTAGCAAGAGAGGCTGGGATTTCTGAAAGCACGTACTCAGCCGGCCACACGCTACGAGAAAGGAGAAAAAATGTGGTCAGTCTGTTAATTGAGCTGGCTCATACTGGCAGCTCGACGTTGCGGCGCGCCGGGAGTTGGGTGCTGGACTTTCTACTGCAAGAGGAATTTTAGATGGGTAACAGTTCAGGTTGAAATTGTGGTTCCGCAAGCTAATAACCAAGGGTACCCAGATAGGTAGACGAAAAAGAGCTGCCTTGAAGCATCGGGAAAGCCGCAGCACTTCCAACAGAAAATTTTCCCAGAATTCGATGCTTCAGCTCATTGCAAGCCCAGAGAATCAAGCCCGTTGACGACGGCGAGTAATACGGTAGAGAGTAGAACATATAAGAAATTGCGGGGATGATACTCTGCTTCAGAGAGCAGAGACCCGATCCCTTACCATACCAGCGGCCCACAGAAAATGCGCTGTGTAAAATTCATGCAAGAACGGCTTCAAGATTTCTAAACCATTCTCCATATTGCTCAGGTATATCTCTGAAACTGCAAACTCTCCGCTTTCCAACGCAGTTCTTGGGAGGGTAATCTCACTGAGAACAGGCACCTGTCGAATCGCCCTCTGCTGCTTTCAGCTTACAACGACTTGAATTTCTAATTGAAGGCATTAGCACGGTATGAATTGTGCCTCAATTGCGGTGCTTCAAATTCAGGGTTTCACAACGGCAGGTATGACCGAATACATTTCGTAAAATCCCTTCAACGAGTAACCATAAGGGTACCCGACAGGAGGCTGGTCGCGCGGCGACTAGGCAGAGACGCAGACGGGTCCGAGTTGCAGCGCATACTAAACAATGTGAGATGTACTTTTACATACGTACTACATGTGTACGTCCTATTCAACTTGACGTTGAATAGCTACAGCACGCACTGCGACTCGTTCGCTACAGTCTGTGTCCCTAACTTCTCGCCGCGTGAACGGCCTCCTAAAGGGTACCCAACGACTAAGCAGTTATCACGTTGTACAATACAACGACTGAGCA